GCGGGATATAAATTATTTATTTATTTATTTTGTTCTGACCTGCTTCTGTTATCTAATTTGACCACTGGAAGGCAGATATTCCCAAACTCAAAAATGTATAGAATCAGATATGTACAAGTCAATTGGACAGTGGCTGGGATAAATTATTACCTTTCTAGTGCAGCTCTTCTTTTCTCTACAAATTCTGTAGATGAAGAATCTTCCTTGCCTACTTTCACCTTGGTCATGCCTTTGGAAAAAAGTGATATTGTATTATTTTTAAGATTTGATAAACTTAATTAACTGGGCTTTGTAATCTACAAATGTACATGAAACTACAATGTTACAAAAATACATTTTTAAAAATTTGCTTCATGCTTCACCCACCAGTAAACAGCTACAAGTTTATCATGTTTCTGTGTGAATTCTCAGTCATGATACCATAACTGGAAAGACTAGGGAGGTAAGTAGCCACTTACATTTTGGTGAAAAAAAGATAGATAAAGAAAGCTAAAATTAAGAAGCCTAATAAGTAAATTTGCGGTTTACATGATAGTTTGAAGCAAACTGCAACAGAGACAGTTACTCCAGCCTCTTCCACTCAAGAGATTTCAGGAAAAACGTCATAGTCTTGCATAGTAAAGTAATGAAAGAGACGCTGTGTAGAACAACAGTACTAGCACGCAGCTGGATAAGCAATAACAGTGAATTGTAGTCCAGCTAAGAAGCTTTAACAGAAATCAGTACTAAGAAACATTCAGTCATGTTCATAGATTACATTTCTCTCACGTTATGCTGTACCACTGGTAAAGTTGGCTAAGACTGATGGAAATCAGGAGTTCAACATTTTAAAAGGCAATTTTAAAAACCATATGTTCCCCCACCCTAGCCTGCATTAATTCAGTTTTCAGTATTTCACAATATGCATTCTGAAAACCCTTTTTCTAAAGGACCCAAAGGAATGTTTGTGTTGTTGTACAAGGGAAATCAAGAACTAATATGCAGGTGGATCAGTCAACAGAAGGATAAGCAGTGTAAC